ACTTCGTCGCCGTCAGCATTCAACTGCTCTGTCAACGATGTGACAACATCGGGTATCGTACACGTGAAAGGGAGGTTGCGAATCTGAGTAGAGAAAAAGTGACAGCAGAAGGAAAGTGAGGACTTTCTCAATGCGTCGCCTCTCGAAATCACGACAGTTCGTCACATGGTACCCTTATTACAAACAAGGTCCGGCCTTCATCCAAATCGAAACCGCATTTTCGCTTCGCCTTGGAGCTCGAGGGCTCCTCGTCCTCCTCCTCGCTGTCAGATTCCTCAGACTCCTCTCCAGCATCACTATTATCATCGTCAGACTACAGACAACGCGCATTTATCTACACTGTATCGAAGAGCAGTGGACTACATCCTGTGGCTCTTCTTTCATTTCCTCTTCCACTTCTTCTTTTTCCTCCTCTTTCTTCGCCTCCTCTACCTCTTTTTGACGCCTCTCACGCTTTTTCTTGGCGTAGGTTCGGGTGTCCACACTAAGATCCACGGCCACCTGAAACACATTTGCCGACAACCGATAAATGAGTGAGCCACGCTGCACTCTTAGGGTTGGGAGTAAGAACTTGAAGGACCGGTTTTAACCTCAAACGCTGGCAGATACGCAATTTTACCCTCTCCAGCATTGAGAGTCCAATCCGCGAAGCTCAGAGCAACCGTAGGCGCTCCAACACGATAAACTTTCCCGTTCGATAGTCCCCGCTGAGTTACTACCTGCCTTCCTCGGACCTTGAGCCCTTGCGAAGAGCTGCTAGCGGCAACTGCCTTGTCTGCTTCCTTTCGAGTTGAGAATTGAACGAAGGCGAACCCACTGATAAAAATAAAGCTCTCATATGAAGCTCCGACCGTCCCATAGTACCCATGGGGAAAAGGCCAGTTCGGTTTGTTGTGTGGCTTCTCACCGAGGACGACTTCCTCGATCTTGCCAAATCGAGACATAGCCCTGAGGGTTAAACAGATGTCATCCCAAAAAGAGGAGGCGTCTCTTACTTCTGCAGATCGGGCTTCATCGCCCTGTAGGAAAGATTTCGGACGATGACGCGGCCCTCCTTGGTGTGCTGCATCGCGGAGGTAGCTGATCCCTCGACCATCGTTATAAGCAAAGCCTAACTGAATGATAGTGATGTTCCGAGTGATCAATATAGAGCACCGCTGCTGAGTTAACCAGGAAGTTCACAAGGTCACGCTGATCGTTGTGCCGGGAGGATTTACGAAAGGAGTGGTATGGGACATACCAATGTGACTTGTGCATCTTGTAATTCTTGTTATTCCCTTATGGGGGAAATTCGACTGTGCTGGATGAGTCGCCGTAGACTTAACCATGGACGGGTAATCAGCTAGCTTTCGTAGCCTCTGCTTAGTGGTCTGCCTTCTGAGACATGCGGTCACCAACGCGTACCCGGGCTGATCGGATGAGGTCGGACCGACCAAGGCTTCCCACGTTAGGCCAACATCTCATGCGTTGCTTCCAGTCGGTATACTAATGTCGGTCTCGTCCGGAGCCCAACCGAGTGTTCAAGGCCCTGTGGCTGTGGGAGACCTCTTGAGTGAAGCTTCGAAAAGATTCGAACAAGAGTTTCTTCAGCGGCCTGATGCATTCAGTGTCGCTCCAGCTTCCATACCACTCCTTGGTGAGATCGAGTTAACGACCTACCGTCTTAGAATCAACTACATGAGGCTAAAAGTCATCAACATTACTGGACATCATGATATGAACCATAACAGCCTTTTCCTCACTAGGTACCAGTGCAGTTCATGAGAACATTTCTGTGAGCATCGCCGTAGATCGATACACTGTAGTTGTTGGACGATCGAGCCAAGACAGCTCCGAGGTGCTACTGCGAAGGAGGTGTGCGTCTCATATATCTTCCCGTCGCGCAGTGTTCTCTCATCTGGAATAGTGCTCTGTTACAGAATACAGTATTGAAAGGTTTGATCGTCAGGTTAGAGTTATATCAACGTCATGTGCGAAGGCGTGTGTCTTTACTCTGCCTTCTATTGAGGAGGGGGAGGGTGATGAGACCGCAACAGATGTGCGCGGTTGGGACTGGTAGTAAGGGCAATCGACTCACATTCCCTTCGCAGACTTAACAGACACTTGTCGAGATTTTTGGACCCTGAGAAATGTGCGCCTGGTGGCTCTTACTTGTGCTCGAAACCAAGGCGATCTCGCGGACAGTAAAAACAGTTTCGTAATAAGTGCGGTACTCGTCAATTAGTAGGATCGGTCTTGACTAGCGCCTCGGCTCGTCGTTATCCGGTCATTCATGATGTTCCTACAGGAGCAACATCATCCGGAGTCTCGTTCAAGAATTAAGGCAGCTGAGTGGTATCGATATATCAGGCTTCACTGCTGTTGTGCATAGTAAGACATGGGTCAGGCCATGGAGACAACTCTACTGCTGCGTTTTGTGCCCTATAAGAACAAGCACTAGTTTATCGCGCTTAGCACTATGACATTAGGAAGCGGCCAAATCTTGGTAGAAATGGTCATGTAAATTCGGGTACCTGTTGAGTCTGTCCGTGGACCACGCCAATTAATTCATCGCTCGTGTGTGGATGCTTACGACACTAGCGCCGGGTCTCGCCTACTGTTTAGTTCAACATAGTCAGCAGTTGATCTCCATTGTGTGCCCCTTACCCTTGGCTCACCGTGCAGGTACTATCCCGTCCCACCAATCAATGAACAGCTCAGCGGCACTAGAGGTTGCCATGGCGGCTCTTCTTCAGCGATTATTCCCTCAGAGCTTCTGCACAGTTAGCCAAATGGATATGATACTTGCCTGTCGCCGAGCTGATCAGAAGTACTGATGAGAATCGACTTTGCCGTTCGGTGCATGCAAACGCTATTCCTTCCCTCTTCGCCTGTTTCAGCTGATGTACACCGTGCACAAGTCAACTGTGTGCTGTCTCCGCGACTGATGTATTCCATCAACTGTATCTATATCAATGTATGAATAGAATATATAGAACATCTACAATGGGTATGTTTATAACACTCAATAATACCCAACATAATAGTAGGAATGATACCAAAATTTGATTTAATTATAGATAGATTTATATGCTACTATATAGCAGGCATTTCAGTGCTAGCTGAGGGCTAAATCGTCTCCACAGTCTGTGCTGCAACTATTCTCAGAGAGCGATGCTATTCATAACTGAGCCATGCTCATCAGGTGTTCAGACGTGGGTTCGAACGCTTTCACATCATCTGCCCTCGAACAGCTCACTTGCACCTTCTCGAGACAAATGCACGCTATTCACGCTGATGCTGGAGATGTAGTGCATTGGGGATGCGTATTCGAGTAGATATAGCACAGTCATCGATGGAATCGATGGAATTGGAATTTATCTTTACCATGGAGAGCATCATATTGCACGGTCTCATACTCTTTATGTAACACATAATTTTCAGTCATTATACTGAGCGAATTTCTAAGGTGAGTTTCTATCTCGCATGAAGTGACTTCTGAATCCAATCGGACTTCGCCGATTTTGAGCGTAACGTATTGGTTCATAGTCAGATGCGGATATTCGACTTCATCGCCTTCCCATCCCAGCCGACCATCCGACTGCTCCTTATTGTACCACTCGTCTCTCAGGAGTCTCCGCACCTCCCGCTCGAGTAGGTTGGGACACTGTAGTTCACAAGTCGGGGAGACCGATGGAACTTCAGTAGCATATGATGCATCCTTCCACAGCAACGATATTGTTTAGAAATGGTATATTCGTGCTCGAAAATGTATGCAACCACTTTGGTTTCACTTCGTTTCTTGTATCATTTCATTTTCTCTCATGGTGTCGAATATCCTTGGACAGTTTTGAATACATGTTCGTTTCCCCTAGTAGTTATAGAAATTTATATAGGAGTTAGGGTAGAGGTGTACAGGAGCTGACATGAATTTCCCAGAATTTCCTCAAAATTTTCGGATTGTCGCCGACACATGCAGTTGACCATGGCGAATTTTTTCGCGCTGACTTTCGAAAATTCTTCTGCTACTATGGATCCGTTCGTTTTGCCCTTCAGTCGTTGGCAGGATTCTCCCACTGAGGATGAACTAGCGATATCGGCTGCGCAACTGATGGGTCGTCCATCTCTGAGAGATATTGCGATTGAAGACGTGGACCGAGCGTCACTAGATGACAGGCAACGCAAAGCTGTTATGGGTAGGTGTGCAATCGGGCTCGGAAGAAGATCAGAAAGGGGCTACTCTCAGGCGTTGTATTAGAAGCCAACCGAGTGAATCAGCTGGTGTCGATGCAACGATCATGTACGGCTGAGGACCTTGGTGCTCTGTTGAACTCGGACAGGCTGGCCAACGATGAATGTGAGTCGTGCTGGAGAATGGCGTGGTCTTTCGTCTCGCATGCTACCGAGGCGAAGTATGATCAGCTTCATTGCTCCTTTATCGACCACAAGTTAGTGAGCGGTGCATTCCGCCAAGGCTGGGCGGTCTCCGCGTTCGTGTTTTGCTGGACTTATGGTGATTTAGTCGTCATATCACTGCTGATGTATTTCTTGTTTTCTAATATCTTGTTTAGGTCACCGACTTCTTTCGGCGATTCGGTTCCTTCCGGGCATCTTTGGATGCCGACGAGTAAACGGCAGCTACCAGAGTCCGTCGAGCTTCGCTGCTATCGCCATCGCTGATGTTGGAGTGTGCGGTCCGTATCTTGTCAAGTTCTCCCAAGAGTACAACTGCACAATTAATGTGCTCACTCCTGCCGATGGTGCTTACTCTAGTTATCTCAAGTTCATGGCACCTCAGCAGTGAATATGACCGCGTCACTCGTTGCCAATCACTTTTCATGCTGGTACAGTGTTGAGTCAGAGGTGGTTCCACACAGTAGTTCCAGCCGAGCATAGGGCTTATGTTCCTGGAATGGGTGTATTTGTACTGGACATAACATACAGCGAAGCATGGTTTTTGCTGATCGCAGCATTTTCCCTAATTTCTGTCCCGTCTCGTTATAAGCGTGGGGAGACAGCAACACAAAGAAGCTTGTCAGGGGTCTCCTACGTCCCTTGGTAGTTTTCGTTTCTTGCTATGGAACTGAGAACTGGTGTATATTCCCAACCATTGCTCGCTCTCGGCTTATTCATTCTGCCTTTGGTTGTGCGCGGCCTTGGATTCGGGCAGATCCTCTTGGGACTTTTCCTGGCTTACTTGGTTTACTTCTTCGATTCCTCACAATACGAGCCCGGCAGAAGGTAACTCGTAGGGAATCTTAGGTCCAGCTCTGCGAGATACGAAATAGGTCAGATTGCAGTCATTCTCGGTTCCAGGTACCATCCGCGAATCTACAACTGGATTCGCAACGCGGATGCACGCATGCTCAGTGGCTATTTCCAGAAAGTGTCACTCAATTACGAAGACTTCGGGGCTATCGAGAAGCAGCCTCAAGTGATCTATTCTATCCAACCGCACGGAGTTATGTCATTCTGCCCACCTATGCTCTTCATGAACGCTCCGCAGAAAACCTGCGGCCTTGGTGCTTCTGTGTGCTTCAAGTTCCCTATCATGCGGGAGATGTATCTCTGGATGGGCGTCATCGATGCTGGTCGTCGCACGTGCATGAAGGCACTCAAAGAAGGCTACAGCTTGTCGATCGTCCTTGGTGGTACGAAGGAACAGTTGATACCCTACTCGCCTACTCATGATACTATTGTATGCAAGTCTAGGAGAGGCTTCATCTACTTGGCTAGGGATGCTGGCAAGATACCCATCGTGCCATGCTATTGCTTTGGAGAGCAGATTGCTTACGGTAAGTCATCGCTCGCACAACTGTAACCTCATCAATGAGCACCCGTGCCGCGTTCCCGTGATTGTTTCTCTTCAGAGACTAGTAACTTCATGCTCTCTACGCGCCAGTGGCTTCAGCAGCACCTGGGTTTGGGTCTACCTCTGCCCAAGTCGTGGCGTCCCAAGCACTTGAAGGACTTCGCACTGGTGGTCGGCAAACCCATTGAATGGGAGGAAGATGACACAGTAACGACCATGCACGACAAGTAAAATCGTCCTCCCTCACGCTGAGAATGTCCAGTCGTACTTGCATCAGGTACGTCAGTGCTATCCGTGATTTATTCTACGATAATAAGAGCAAATACCCCGAGTACGAGAAACGCGAGCTTGTCATCGAGTGAGCCTCCAGTGACAATCGCGGTATTCAGTTCCTTCACATTTCCTCAGCAGTTCTGCTATTCGAGCTAGACTTGTGTTTTTCAGTGATTAATTCTCGTGAGTTTGGATTCATGCAGGTTTTCACTCCTTCTCTTAATGGCTTTTCCCTTACATATTCGTTCCCAGCAAGATGCTCTTGCCCTAGCGCTGTTCCTGGCTCCAACTCTGTTCAAGGGAGTAGGATTCTGGCAACTTGCATGCGGTCTTCTGCTCTCCTACTCGGTGTACCTTATGGATTCTTCCCAGTACGAACCCCACTGCAGGTAGGTCCTTGCGTAATTGCTGTTGTTATTAGATTGCGCTCGTTCTGTAGATACAACTCGAAGGTGTTCGAATATTGCCGCTCTTCCTATACCAAGATGCTCAAGAGGTTTGCCGATAATGTTGCCCTCGTGTACGAAGATGAGAGCGCACTCAAGCAGTGTGCGCAAGTGATCTATTCGATACACCCTCACGGTGTCATGTCCTTCTGCCATCCATATCTATTTTTCAACTGTCCCCATGCAACCTGTGGCCTGAGCGCTTCAGCCTGTTTCAAGTGTCCACTTATGAGGGAACTCTGGCTTGCACTCGGTGTCATTGACGCTGGACGTGCTACATGCATGAGAGCCTTGCAGCAAGGGTACAGTCTCACTCTAGTGCTTGGTGGTACGAAGGAACAGTTGATACCCTACTCGCCTACTCATGATACTATTGTATGCAAGTCTAGGAGAGGCTTCATCTACTTGGCTAGGGATGCTGGCAAGATACCCATCGTGCCATGCTATTGCTTTGGGGAGCAAATCACGTATGGTAAGCCCCTCAGGCAGTCACGACTTCGATACAGCGATGCTCACATTTCAGAGACAAGTGACTTCATGCTTCCTCTCCGTCAGTGGCTGCAGCATAACCTCGGCTTGGGCATGCCGCTCCCTAAGTCGCTTCGTCCGAAGCATTTGAAGGATTTCGTAGTCGTTGTTGGCGCCCCTTTAACATGGGGAGAAGATGACACTGTGGAAACCATGCATGCTAAGTGAGTGGAGCAGCACACAGGAAATTCAGCCTGATTCTGTGTCCCTGTCGAAGTGCACTCTGGTCGCCCTGCAGGTATGTCTCGGCGGTTCGTGATCTCTTCTACAAGAATCGTGAGAGATACCCAGACTACGCTAAAAGAGAGCTTGTCATTCAGTGATCGTTTGTGAATGATTGTTCCTTTTCTGTTCGTTCGACAGGGTTCTGTATTCAATTACTAGTACAGTTCCCTCCGCGATAATAAAACAGAACCGCGAGGATCATTGCGTCTCGCTCACTGAGTCGCATAGAAGCCTTCTTGAGTATCTCGTTTTGGTCATTTCAATGCATTGCTAATACGCCCAGGTCTTAGGCTTAGATCTCACCAGGCTCTCATGACATGTTTCGGGGGTTCCAGTTTGATGTAGTGCGAAAGCGATGCCTCGCCGAACGTCACTGTTCATGTCTGAGAGCAGATAAGCCCACATTATTGTATCACTCGAAAAGGCTCTTTTTGGGACGCTGAGGAGTCTTCGAGAGAGATGGTGATGTATCGTTTTCTCTGAAATGAGATCGATCGAACCTATCAGGAACGGCTGTAAGCCTTACTATGACTATGACGATGTTAATGATAGACTCAGTCTGTGAGTACCAATGAGTTTTCGTGTACAGACTCGACGATCCAGAGTTCTGTCGAGATATTCATGTTGGCTGCTACGAGGAGTACGCGGTGAGCAGTATATCGCACTGCCTCGCTAATATCGCTAATTCTCTATCGCTAATACCAAGACTGAGAGCACCACATCACTGCGCTGTGTTAATTTGGGAGACACTGATAGGCCTAAATGAGGAGCGACTACTGTTAACGTATGGGGCTGGGATTCATAAAGGTCGGCTTCAAGAGATCTCATCCTGGTTCACGTTTCTGAAGGATCTTGCTGTTTACACTCGTTCCACTTCATCGCTGCGAATTGTAACTGCTGGCACGAGCTTGAAGCAGTACGCAGCCCGACGCAGTTGAGCAAGACGCGCCCGTCTTGATGCCCACATTATTGTATCACTCGGAAGGGCTCATTCCCACCACGCGCGGTCATTGAACTTGTTTATTAACTATTCGGTGACAGTATACTACTTTCCATCGGTATGAGATTCGACTGTAAGGTAATGGGCGTTGCGTACTGCGGACGGGCCTCCGTAAATGGTCGACTTTCACGTGCAGTGGAATCGGCAAACTCGAGGACTGTCACCGGGAACTCGCAAGACGCAATGTATAGTCCTGAGGGCGAGACAGAGGCACTGTCAACGTTATTGCTCTACAGAATAGCATTCTAATGGACCGCGGGACCCTCGAGTCGTGTCAAAGGTGTGGGAAAGATTTCGGGTGGGTGTAGGAGACAATAATTCCTTCGTAACGTTGCCAGAGACGGCCGTTATCACTCAAACCTCAGGCAGTCTTCGCTTGCAAAACACTCAAGTTTCTGCGGGCAGATGAAAGGTAAGAACTCCGTCATCGTCCACGCAGGCCTGTTATGAACATATGAATGTTTAGCTACCGATTCAGAGGGCGTTTCAACAGCAATGACTGTTAATTACTCTCAGTACCCAAATTCGACAAAGTCACGCATTACCTCCGCAACACTGATAGTGCATCCTACATGGGTTTGATTAAGGTGAGAGCATCCTATCGAGGGCTCGCTACCTCAATTCAGATGAAGCTTCCACGCGGGGTTGCAAAATACTCAAAGCTCGGGCTCGCGACTCGACGAGTTCGACCGTGCTGCGGCATATGTGGGAGGAAGTTCGACTCCTCGGTGAGCCTTGTCTCACTATGGAACATCTTTGCTCCTTAGGAAGCTCTGTCGAAGCACAGCCGAGGATGCCGGGGATCGCCCGAGAGGTCCCACAAAAGTGAACTAAGAACTGTCACACTGAGACTACCAGACACAACGCATGCAACGGGCATTTCTTCACACCTAAAACTATCAACTTCCCGTACCACTAAAAGTGAGGGGATCTCGCTCAATGCCATGTTCTGATCGTGTCGATAGAGCCGAGGTCGGCTACAGCCCGATCTCCGCAAGAGGGGCATGGGCACTTTGTTGCCCGAGCAGCTCAGCCCTATCACGTGCCACCAATGCCTGGCAGTGCCGGAGGTGAGTTTCATACCCCTCACACGGCATCATCTAGCATTGCACAGCATACCACAGATGAGCTCGTCGATCTCAGGTGGTGTTCGTGTTGGCTTGCGAGCAAGACATCCGAACGTGAAGAGTGAGAATACGGAGTCTGTAGCACATAGTACGAACGATGCAGTCTCATCACTGGCGAGATCCCCGAGAGAGATTCCAGTGGTGAGTGAGAAGCTGAACTTTTTGCTCATCATCGTCAACTCTGGGATGAAATGCTCAATTACATGAGAATCGCCCGGCCAGCAGCCATTCGTGACGTATTCCTGTGGAATGGTGAACTATATGCTGCACCTGCGGTGCTTTCCTGAGCTAATACTTCATCCACCCTAAGCAGTTCTACCCTCTCACGTGTCTGGGACGCGGCAACGCAACACGGAGATAACACTTGAATGCTCACTAGAAGCTTCATTTCGGGAATTCGGAACCCGATGAGTTTACTGCTCTCACTGCTCGCTTCGGATAATGAAATTTTACAACGTCGTTTGCTAGCGAATACTGGCAATTTTTTGTATCAACCACTTGTTCGCGGAGCTACAGAGCAGAAAAATTCGGAAAGGTTTCGAAATCGAGTCGGTCCATATCATCGTCTCAGAATACCTTGGAGCCCCCGTACGAGCTCTCAGCGGAAGAAAGGACACCCGACGTGTTGGGCGGAGAAACCCTTGCAGTGTGAGGGCAACATCGAGTTTATCGGGATATGGTGCTTCGAATCCCCTCATTCGAGACTTGGGAGGCAGATTATCTTCTTCTTGGTCCTGACGATCGATTTCAGACATGCAGAGAGAGCTCCTATTTCGGAGAGGCTTTGTGGGACGCGGCAAGGAGGTTCCAGCCTGTACACCAACAGCTTTCCAGATCATCACATCGATGGGTTTGAACCCGACAGTATCTTTGGAATTGATGTTGAGAGCATCCTGTTCGGCGAAGACGATATAGAAGCGGTAGGAGATGTGTTCAAATCAATAAAATATCCACGCACTGGGACTCGAACGTCGCCTCTCGATCACACATCGTGGACCCATCCTTCCCCTCTGTTGCTGGGAGAACGCTTTCTTTCCGATCGGATTCACCGTCAGCAATCCTTTCTACTGGTTCCTCCAAATAACTAACTGATGATCTACCCACCACTTGAAGTGTCAGGGCCCGTCCGTAGGAGTGCACCCGCTGGCTAGCTGCCTCCCAGCAAGTCTCATGCCTTTATTGGGGGGATACGGTGGAGGCGGCGTCACTTCGGGGTAAGGCGTATGTTGGAAGGGATGCCTGGATCTTGAACATCTGATCTCTTCATGAGAAGCGCTGCATCAATAATTCTCGTAGACTGCCACCACGGTGCTCACAGGCTGTGAACAGATTGTCCCGACCACTTCGTTTCTGAGTCTCAAGGCGCGTTCGACATATATGAATCCGAGCTGATCTCCTAGCAATAGCTTGGTGTAGGTTATCGACTGAACAAGGCAAGGCTGAGCATACTCCATTGCCCCGTCTGAAATGCGAAAAAGCTCTTCCGCAGCCACGAAAAGCTACTGGTCGTTCCAGGAGAACGAAAGGGGTTTGAAGGGTGTCTGTCATGTTCCACAATTATCACTCATGTCTCAACAACCGTTTTCTTACTGCCGGTGTGTCGGGTTGCTCATAATGTTCGCGATCTGGTAAACAAATTCACACACTATGCTTGTCTAGCATTGCTGGATGTGTTTGCCCTTGGCCGTTGTCAGACCGCCATCAGCAACAGTAGTGAATTATCTTCAAGTGGATACACATTCGATATCCTGAAGGTCGGTCTTATCCTGATATTGCTCGTTCATTGTCGTCAACTCAAGTCTTGGTGATACATTATTACGTGAGACAGGCCCCGTTTGAAGTTCAAGTATGGTGCCCTATATGCTACCCCGATCATGCAAGTAGAATTTCACATAGAGTTCGTCGTGGGCCCTATCGTGGTAGCAGACCCACTAGAAAACCGGCTGAGGTGGCTGACTAGCACGCTCATCACATCGAGCACTCATGGCATAGGAGGATGCCAGCTCGATGGATCTCGCAGTTTGCCCACGTTACGCTGCAACTCACTCAACAGAACGCTACACGCATTAATGTCAAATCACGAAACGCAGAAGTGAACATACCTCAAAACTATCTACCGACTCACAGACCTCCACAGGACAGCCATGTGATAAGATGATACATTCTTCTTTTCTATTATAACATATAAACTTTGTTCTATCATCGAGATGTATTTCTATCCAAGTTGTTCCATCAACTTTCAAGGGGGAGTGATGGAGGCGGTAACTATCTTGAGGACGGTGCCATTCGTCTCTACTAGCCTAACTATCGGTGGTGCACAGCGAACGCACAGGGCCGGTGTCCTGACAGTGACATTCGCAATATCAAGAGTCACAAAGCCGAATGATCGCCAAAGGACTCACGTCCCAGGTAGGGTTGCGAATTGACCCGTGGTTCCGGAACTCTCTGCCAGCTGTCTATAATGAGCAATCCATACATCGTGGCACCTCTTATGATATCTGACGAATAGGGCGTTAAACGTCAAAGGGCTCGGTCGTCGATAGGAGGTCTTGAGCCAAGAAGAACTCATTGCTCTAGCGTAGGCGCGAATGTTAAATCATGTAGAAATTCAGCCAGATAAAATGTCAGCGTGAGCGTAATCCGATTCAGCTCGAGCTTACATTTTGCCACCACATCCGCCACAAGTCATCGAGAATGGCCCACGGCCCTCTAGCTTGAAACAAATCGGGCACGGGTGAAGTCTCGAAACATTCTGATCTCGTTCGATATCCTCAAACACGCCAGGTTTCTTCAGTGCTTCAGCCACTGCTTGTCTTGCCGCCGGTAACTTCAACACTTGCACGTACACGAAAAGCAGGTGCCTGGGTTAGGATTGAAGTTTCGTTCGCTGCGAAGCCACAAGACACAATGGTAGGACAGACAACTCACTCGCAGCAATAGTCCGGCGCAGCCACGAACGCAGGGCAATCGCAGGAAGGTGTTGAGTTAGGAGCGACGTTCACTGTAAACTGCTCACCACCATCGGTCACGAGACGGAACTGCTGCGCGATCACCGGGTGCTCATCCTGTATATCAAACAGTAAGCTTGCTAAGAGTCTTCATCAGCGTCCCACCTGCTCCGTGGTAGTAAAGCCAACCGAGTCTCTCCCGAGTAGCCGGATGGTGCTATTAACATTCTTTTTAACACTGGTCTCAACCGGGGCTCCCGCCGACCCTAAGATGACCACGTCAACGGATCTCATCGGGAAAGCGATGACCACTATTTGTGAACCAACGAAATACAGAACTGTACTCTCTAAGGGAAAGTACTCCCTAACTGCGCCCCGGGAACCTCCGACAATTTCATCACTATAGATAACAAAGACCGATACTCACTAACTATTCCAGTCTGAGTGAACAATCGTCAAGAGAAATCGCGGCCCTAATTCGTAACCCACGCCATACCACGCAGTTCCCGATCTGTTAAGGGGTGGAGCAAGGTTCGCGGGAGCGCTACACCATCCCTGCTAGCGCTGCTGCTCGAGCTCGGACTTGAAGGAGACCCCGCCCGTGATCCGGCTGATGACGACCTCGAATTGATGGATTCGCCCAACTCACTATGGGCCAGAGATAGCGCGGCTATCAATACCTGCTAGATGATAACGCTGCTCTCCGATCACATGGTATAGTCGTAGATTCAGTAAAGTGTACGGTGACTTATCCACAGTATTGTACTGTTGTTACTCGCTATACTTAGTATACATTCAATACATGCTATGATGCTATGGACGCTCTTTCCGCGCTCGAGACGGGTTTCAACAGTCACACTCTCGACCGGTTCGCTAGTGCTGACGAGCGGCCACCTCAGCTGCGTACGACCCACCCTCTGCCTGAGGGCCTCTGGCCTGCTTTTCAACAGAGGCAACAAGACCGCTGAAATTTGCGCATCTGTAAACCTGCTGAAGATCGTGTTAACCACCTGAGCGACTGGTTCACGACGGAAGACTCGGAAAAGAACCAGCACTCGCCAATGATCGGTGCTGCCCTGTGTGACGGATGAGATTCTCGGTGGGGAAGGAACCGGGGGAGATTCTCCTGGAGGACGCAGGGAAGGGTTGGACATTGCACCGTAGTAAACGGTCTATGCCTCACTGCGAGAAAGAGCTCCAGTTTGCACCACACAGATTATTCAATTACCGGAATCAATCAAAAACGGGAGGAGAGTTAAAGTTGCCATCATTTTGGTTCCTCGAGAGCTACTGCTAAGATGCCCATTTTCGAGAAGGAACCCCTTTTGCAGATCAAGCCGTACCACCAAACTACTCTCGAGACGCCCCACTCGTTATTCTCTTCAAAACAACTGAACAGCTCTGTGATGAAGTCAAATAGTTTTCAGTTAATAAATGAAATAACACAGCTCAATACGAAACTTTACAACTCGTCACTGTCGTCGCTGATAGCCGCCTCCCTGTGCTTGACCAGTGGTACATACTGGACTCCCATGAGCGGCTCCTTCGTCACAGCCCCGGATTCGTCCTTGTCGATTTGATAGAAGATCTGAACGTGCGATGGGACGAGACCGTAAGAGGCTAGCGACGCGGCTCACTTGAGAACCACCGTAGGGCCCAACAGGGATCACCATCCTCCCACCTCGCTTCAGTTGATCGACCAAAGCCCTCGGCACACTCTCAGCTGCTGCACCAACGTGGATTGCGTCGTACGGCGCTTCAGCCGCGTACCCAGACCACCTATCACGAAATCTACGGGATTTTCCACAAGCTAGCCGCGGAGAATCCTTCATAGGGGAAGAGTGCAGCTCGCGTGCTAAACCCGATATCGACCATGATAGAGAGGGATTACTCCCTACTCAGCGCTCAGGAACCATATGAGGTCGGGAAGTGCAAGCGCGTTGCACATTCGAAGCCCCTTAGGGACGCCTCACAACACGTTACAGACTAGCGAACATCATCCAATACAACGGGGAGTGCTAGTCGGTGTTGTTGAACTATAACAACAGTGATTACCAATAATCCGTGTTAGTTACAGCAGTAAATCAGAAGAATAATCTTGTGAGCTACGTAGTGATGATTGCCCACAGCACTCACCCGTCTCCTTCAATAAGCTCTAGGCGGCCGGACTCCAACAGATCACCATCTTTCTTCCTCACATTTGCCAAGGAGAACTGCACCAGAGGTGATATGTAGCTGAGCACTAACAATAGAATCCTATTCGGGCTCGATAGCTCAGAGCCCTACAACCCTTGTGTTGGCAAGCTCAGCTTGCTCGCAGGGGACCGATCTCAGAGCTAGAAAAGCAAATCGGAGAATCATACGTTGCGTAGGAAAAGTTGACTACCACGACTGCTATCCTCTGTAATAATCTCTGACTCACAAACCCGAAGCCGAATACATTCGATGCACATCTACCAAGAGAAGTACCGCGAGTCAATCTCCGAGAAAAGGGGGGCCGACTTTCCCAACAACAATGAAACCTATCAGGCTTTCTATATATTCATGGACCATTCAGTGACATCGTTTCTCCTCATCTGCTCGTGAATAGGACGACCAAGAGAGACCATCCTCCCTTTCTAGAGCCCTGAGCACTCACTCTATGCCAACCACTTTGCTGTTCTCGCCGGCCATCCGTGCCATGCACACAGCCAGGTAGCCGCTGCCGCTACCCACATCGAGAATTCTAAAGAAATATGAGAATATGAAAAGGAACATTCGCCGAGTTAGTCAACCCGAGACAAGGTATCAGAAATACTCCACGACATGCAATTTCGACTCCCTTACTTTTTGCCTCCACCGGCAATAAATGGCTCTAACAGTTCCAGCGCATGTGCGTGCATGTGAGGGGCGCTTATCGTAGCACTGTGACCGATGGGTTGCGGTGAATCGTCGTATGCTCTGGCTCTATCGAGGACGTAGTTGGCGCGGTCAACCGATATCTGCGAAGCGCCAATGCGACACTGACGAGCGAGCGGTGAACAACTTCAAAGATTGAGGCAGCTGCGAACACACGAAGTGCTTCAGCCGAAACACCAGGAATTGATGCGCGTATCCAATAAACGAGCAGCAATCGAAAGACGACCGATACAAAGGAGGTTGGACTCCAAGACCGACCATAGCCTGAAAGACTGCCGTCGAATGGATCACTCCATTCCTTCTCAGATTCTCAACAAGCCCAGTATTCGACGTGGACGAAGAACGCCAGGCCATCAAATAGGAAAGATATCTCAACACAGTAAAGTAGCTAGAGAGGGGTACGCTATCACAGTGTTCGATCGAACCCACCGAATCTGCAGAGCACCCCGACTCTCTCAGCAGCGTCACGTTTCAACGCGACACGTCACAAGGTATAAGAACTTTCATGAGATAAATTGTCCTCACAGATTGGCAACTGGGCATGCTACGGCTACATTGTCAGGAAGCAGAGAACCTCCTCTTGATCAGCTGGATACCGCAGGAACGGTTCTCTTCACAAAGCCGTCTTCATCCGCTTCGACCCGTTGGGTAGAGCCTCTTCGCACCCGCCGAAGTAGTCCACAGAGCTAGCCGTGAAAGCCTCACTCCTCCTCTTGCGTCGCTGGCGTCGTGGTGACTCTATTATCTCGAAGGCTAGACCAGGGCCCATGGGAGCATTGACGGACGGAGCCCCACTCGCAACTGAATCTTCAGGAGAGGACGCTGGCACCGATGACTGCTCCTGAGGCAATCCTGTACGATGAACTGGGACAGCACACAACGATCGGTACCTGTTCATCAGGACACTCCTCCGGCACTGTGGCCAGGGGGCTCAGTAAGACCTAAGGAGGGAACAACTATTCCGATCGTTTCCCACAATGCAATACTGAACGATAAGGAGTATCCAGACGGATGGTATGCTCTAGAAATTCAGCGTAATGTGCAAAGACGAAAAAGATCAAACGCTTACACAAACTGGAAATGAGTCTTCGCTGGGAAGGCAACACTTTGCCAACCACAATTTACAGAGAAGCAGATCCTGTACTTGGCATTTCTCACGTGGAGAATACACACCGAGAGGGCGAAGTCCATAGATGAGAATCATCGCTGTCCCCAGAAGCAGCGAGCAGCTACGCTACCTTAGCCGCCAAGTTGATAGGCGCCGGCTCTTGTGATTTCCTCGCGCTACACTTAGAGATAGAGCGGCTGCGCAGCATCGATCGTTTGTTCCGAGTAGCCGGCGTCGGGGTTGTCATTTCCAACAACGCCATAGTAGCTTCCAGTGGGAGTGCAGGTAGTTGCGGCACATCTCCTGGTGAAAAAAGACCGCGGGAACCGGACTGAGACATGAATGCTGATCGCCTCGTTAGCCACAGCCTCCGTTACCATTGAGCCCACTGGCGTGAACAGGCGTCTGCTATGTTCGGTGGGTGTACCCTGAAAGAGTATCTCATCTCCACAAATACCCACCCCAGCAAGAACCGGAAGACTGCCCTCACTCTGCCAAAAGCAGCAGATCCAAGCCAACCGTGGTTAGCCGCCATTTCCCCTCGCCGACGCTCAATCGTCAGAGGCGTGGCCGGCACCAGGACTCTCGGACGTCTGGCTGGAGAAACCCTCTTCGGGGCCTCAGCTGGCACAGCAGGAAGCAGCGCAGTATCGCAATGAGCCGGTGAGATCAGAGAGGAGGAGGGCCCAAACTCAACTGAAATGAAGTCCAATAAGAGACACTCAAGGAAGGAGTTTACTTGCTGGTGGCTCGAAAGCCTCTGCGCTGAGCCTAATACGACCAGCAAGCGGCGATAACGACTGATCCTCGTGAGCGAAGAAACTATTGCCGAAGTGCCCATCTGAGCCAACCATGGAAGTTCCGGGATCCACAGGGTTGCGCGGAGTTACATTCATCGTAAAAGCTCCCACCAGGGACATGTTGACGGACTTCAATATTCGGCCCCTTAGGCTTCCGGTGATACCTTGGAAACGAGAGCGCGAGAACAAAGGAGCACTAACCGGTGGCAAGCACGAGCTTCCCCACACGAGAGTCTTAAATACCGCATCGGATAGCTCACCGCTCCATGCGCCTGGCTCGATCGGCCTGTGGCTTCCCGATGAAACTCGAACTCTCAGTTGCGGTCTCTTTTACTGACGCGGTCTTCCTTCGGCGGACCATCTGACAGTGATGAATGATACGATCAGTCAAGCGAGGCGGAAGAAATTGAATCACATTTTGTTTATAAAAATAAACATATATGTATTTCAGAATTGAATGGTTATTTTCTAGAAGACACTTTTTCGAAAACCACTGATGAACGTCTTTGATCCCATACGCGATTTTCCTCACCTCGTCCTGCACGGCCTCCTCAATTGACTTTCGCGATTTCCTCGGCGGATTTGGATCGTCGGGCTCATCCGAGGCGGCGTCACCTTGAACAGGCTCATCTCCTTCAACTATGCTATTCTCGGCTCGCTTCCGAGCCACATCTCGTCGGTCCTCGCGCTGAGGTAAGACTCACGCAAGGACCGATCGGCCTCCACCTGTGCTCACTTGTTTGTCAGGCAAGTTGCCCGCTCGGGACCACAACCTGTCCATAATCTCATCGTCAACGTCAAAGTCGAGATACTGTAGACATCTCCGCTGAAGCTCCACGAAGGGGATTTGCCAGAGGCAGTGGGGAAGCACGAAACGCTCGAGAAATTCACAAGGTGTTGGAGGGATGTCGGGACTGATATCTTGCCACTCAGGATCGTCTTGTACCTCACGAAAAATAACACTACGAATTGAGAAAGCGATTTTGAATGCCAGCACGGGAAGCTCTGAATGCAAGGGTGATGCGGGACCAACATTCTAGAGAACGATTTGACGTTGAAATAGGTAATAGTACTGACCATGGAGGACGAGTTTAAGCTGTAGTCACCGTCATCAGAGGCTCGATCAGTCTAGTGAGTTAGGACTCTCAAGTCTCATGCACATGATCCAGGTTCGAACCTCAGGATGGTAATTTTAAGAACACCATTGCCTACCGTATTAGCATCTTCGCCTTTTCCCAACAAAACTGCATGATGGAGATCCTCCATGTGCACGGCGACCCGGTGGTACAACTCAGCCGCAGAATTCCATTCCTTTTCACACGCTGCGGCCAGCGACTGATCGTCGAGCTCCTTCAACAAGTACAGCATACGGCAGATATCCAAGTGCACACAGAATAAATTCAGCGCCCACGAGATCTACCAAACAGGCAGGCGCATCAAGAAGGATCTTTCCGGATTTCCATTTTACTCACAGATTTATGTTTTCGTTTGTTGCCGCGGCTCAAGCCTTTCTGGATGTGTGCCATAAATTGACCACTAGGGGGACTCTTCACCGCTGTGATTTGACTTAGTGAATGCAGGACAGCAGCGACGCGGCTTCGATCGCCACTCTCCGTAACATAGCGGAGATAGTCAGTGATGATCCCATTGCTGAAGGCGGAGTACTGCCCGCTGACGTCACCCGAACCGTACGACATGCCCTCAAACTGGCTTGACAGGAACCCATCAAGTTCCACCTGAGCGGAGCGATGAAATTGGGCATTGCCTCATTTCATTATCAACCACACCTGTGAGAGAGACTCAGCATTTTCTGCAAGCAGTGGCCGCTCCCTCGCAGGAACTTCAACCTTCTGCGAGCTCTGCGAGGGCTCCCCGTCCTGCCCCGTTTCTTCCTGAGTTGCAGCCTCGTCATACCGCCGAGGTAAAGGGCCCTGCTTAAACTATGAGAGCGGAACTAAGATGAGTTAATATACTGGTTCCATGCTCTCATCCTTCATCACTGGAACCATTCGGCCGTTCACTCGCGTCCACACTATCTTCTCAGCAGCGCCCGCTCTGATTCTGCCCTCTGGTTCTCGCAGTACCAAAGCCACAGGTCCCCCAGGACAGCTACGGCGATTCGCGGCAATTCCACCCGGACTCCGCGAGCTCACCTACCAAAAGAAAAGAGCATTCCAGATCGGACAGGCCTCGCAGTCGTGAAGCGAAGCGAGTCCGACACATGCATCACGCAATGGCCCGAATCAGCCTTCACAGTGCGACGCCTCTAATCGTTACGTGGGAGTATTGTTCTCCTGAGGCTCCTCCTTTCCGCAATTGGTGACGAGCCAGGCGCAGTTCTTTCTCCAGTGCTGCATTCCTGGACTGCAATTCTGTTATCTGCTCTTGAGCCACTATCTAAACGGAAAATCTCTCACGGACCGACAACCATCCGTATAGTCTAATGGTACGATTCTTGTTTAGCAAGCACTAGACCCTGAGTTCAATTCACGGTACAACCTTTATTCTATATAAGTCCCGATACAGTCACACTACGGCTGTTAACACTCCGCAATTCCACTCACGCAATACTACCACCGCTGGCGTCGAGCCATGGTGCACGCCAACTGTCCAGTCACTCACCAGTTCTCGTCTTAGCTGGGCTATCTCAACGATGAAATGCGAAGTTTCATCTCCTGGATGTCCACTATTGTTGAAAGAAGGCATTCACTGGTATATAGCATGCAACTATTCAAACCAACGGGGATATATTTCGAGATCCTCTCAACTACTCAACGAAACGACACGTGCAGAAATCGACGCTGTGTGAAGCACGTATGCCGCCTCACAGTGTCGGAAAGTATGCACATGGCCAACTACGTGCGTTGGTGACAGTATGATGATTCTGGTAAAATTTTGGTATACTTGGGCGCTTAGCCCTTGTGTGCAAGATCCTTTCTCACCTCCATCGTGCGTGAATGAAATTCCTGAGCTTATCTAGGGAACCCAAACATATATTCCGAAACCGCCGCCTCGACTGAATGAGATCCAACGCATCAGCAATCAACCCAACAACAACGTCACGATACACCGCGTCAATACAAGGCATGTTACCATTAACAATATGCCAGCAGCGCTCTACTACGTCCATCGACGAGCTCAGTCGCTGCAGCCGGTGCGCCTCCCAGCTCTACTCCTCATCAGATCTCTCAACTCATCTTGGAGATCGTCGAGTAACTGCTCGTACTTCTCCAGTCGTCCCTTTCCACGTCCATTCCTAGATGCCACTCTTCCTCTTGGACCAGAAGGATTGCCTCTATTAGTGCTGGACGATGGTTGCCCACGACTACGCTGCCTGTCACTAAATTTTCGATCCAATAATGAACACGCATTCACCTTGGTTTCACCGTGGTCTTCGGTGTTAAGCGATCAACCTCAAGCTTCAAATGCTGATTTTCAGTCTTCAGCCGACGGAGCGACGCCCTCATCTGTTCCATGTAGTTCGGAACGCGCTCTCCACTGCGGCCACCGAAGCCACGCGACATACTCCCGCCTGAAGAAAGGCTATTATGCGGTCGCAACAAAACCAGGATATGAATATCTGGACACTATCTTGATAAAAAATTCCATATCATAATTTCTCTATCGAGATACAGCATAGTTATTTATATCACCATTATATTGATAGTAAGCAACTAACGTAGGCAACTTAGTCACCCACTCCTGTTCCCTTCCCGCTTCCGCATTGTCAAGGCCATGACTGCATTCTCCAACCCATCCACAGCAGCCGACAACGACGTATCTTCTTGCCACGACGATACTCGAACTGAACCACCCATGCCACCCCTCCACGCAGCCCTATTTCCTCACTTCCGGCCAATGTGTTGAGGCTTCTTGTGAGTATTCTTATGTCACACGCTGCCTCCTCCATTTCCTTTCGACATCGCCGTTCCGAAGGACATGCCTGACACGAAGTTCGACTACCGACCGAGCTGAAAACTGAGGCACATCAAACTTCGGCTCCCTCATTATCCGATCTCGGGGAATATTCTGAAGTGAGGTTTCGTATACCCTCAACAGTTTGCATCCAAATTCACCCTCTCGGTTCGCACGAGGCGATCCAGCAACCCAATAGCCGTTTTACTTTCCCTTAAGAGGTCGTCAAGCCGAGCTGACATCACTGACTGGGACATCCGCACAGATCGAACTAACACCGCCAAGTCAATGCCTCTCTTCTCAACACTAACTCCACATCGGCTAAGCAATCCACGAAGATCCTCCCCTATAAGACTACTTGACAACTGCTTCCTCTCAACGGGAAATCACACAAGTTGGCGCCAAATTCCTCATGAATCACTTTCGTCCGTTGAATTCACGCGACTAAACTCAAATCAATAACTATAGGGTGATGGATAGTAAACGTTCGTGTTGCTGATGCAACACGAGAGGATCCAACGAACAGCAGGTCACTTCTTGCTGACCAGATTGCTCTTCTTGGACAGGTACGTTGCAGGGATGCTCGTGAGCACGAGATCACCAACGTATCGGTCAGTACGCTGAAAGTCAAAACAATCAATGCATCGCCCCTTACACGCTCGCGATTCTCCA